ATTGGAAATGTGGAAGATCAGAAAAGTAAATAGAAAAAAATCCACATATCATCTCACCACTCAGCAGTGAGCACTCAGTTGTCCTAAGTGGCCTTCTATTTTCCTAATCCTTGGGGCAGTGAAAAACTGAAAAATCTGAAGTTTTGTGCCTGCTCCCTTGTATCATATTTAAAGTAATACTATGAGATGCTTTATTTTAGCTCATGCTCCTATGGACCAGTAATATCTGAATAGCTATAATGACTGCATTTAAATCCATTTTATTCCAAATGCATGCAAGTAACTAGTAATTCTCTAGCCGAGAGATTATAGAGAGTTACTTAATGATTATACTGTTAAACAGTAATTCTTGACCACACGGGGTAATGTAATTAATGATATATTATGTTGAAACATACACACATTTGCTATACTATAATTTATGTGTTCTACATTCAGTAGAATGATAGTAGTGCTATTTTTGGTGTTACTGCACTTGGGTTTCCTTACATAATCATTTATGCTTGTGTTTCTAGAAGGAAGTAGATTCCATATCCCTCAGTTGTGGAAGTTGCTCACAGATCCTAGTTTGTGCTAATTTTACTCATAAAAGATAAACTATAATTTCTTTCTAAATACTAATTAATGTTCAGAGGGTCAAGAAAAGAAATGGTTATACCCTTTAAATTACTTTTGTAGTGAATTTGTTATTTGAATGTTCTTAAGTTATTAGCTCTGTTAGCTCATTCACAATAGCAGCAGTGTCATAAATAACTATAGCAGACTTCTCGAAGAGCTATGCTTCTTAACAACAGGACTCTTGTCCCAGTAAATTCTGAAGCCCTCAGGAGAAACAGTGTGTAATTATGAGTTTTTTTTGCCAAGGATGCTCTTCCTTTCTGTTTGCTACTCTCACTTCGAAAATGTTAATTTTTAACAATAGGTCTATTTTCCACTTAACTCCCTCTGTACTGTTTTGTGCAATGTACTGTAATATATGGTCAGTAAATATTTATTACCAGTAAATACTCAAAAAGAATGTTTGTTGAATACAAAATATTTTAACATTCTCATTTCTCTTATGTAATACTTAAAACACTAATTCTGTTCTGGTATGTGACTACTAGGTTTTCCTCTCAGGTTCTGTGGGTGGGCATAACTTCAACGATTCAGGGTAGGACTCGCCTGGGAAGCAAATTATACATGCATATTTCAAGGCCCCACCCAGACCTGCTCAGTCACAATCTCTGGGTGATTTGTATCATTAGGCAGGTCTGGGAAACCTGAAACTAGGGAGTCTGTACTGGGAACATGATCAATATAATTGCATATTTGCATATAGGAAAGATTATGGATATAGATTGAATTGATGGTGTTCATTTATTTCTAATGCTAGTCAACTCAGATATCAGAAGAGAAAATTGCTCTGATATGCTCTTTAAATTTTAGTTACTGAGAAACTTCAGTTGAAGCAATTTTAAAATTATCATTTATTGAGCACTTACCATATGCAAGATACTCTTGTAGTTTTTTGTGTGTTTACTAATGTTAATATAGAGATGTGAAACAATTTGCCCCAAGCCAAATAAGTAACAAGTAGGAAATTTTGGCTTTGAACCTAAGAAGTAGGTCTTCAGAATTTGCACAATTAACCCTTGGAATATATTGCCTATAGCCACCAAATGCTATATACTTACTAATGTGTCAGGCACTACTATAGTCAGCACTTCGTATACTTTAAATTTATTTACCAATCCTATAAAGAAATGTTTAGAAAGACAAATTTAGAGAGATTAAGTAATTTGTACAGAGTTAGCTCGCTAGTAAGTGGTAGAACCAGTATGGTTTGAAGTTGGGTTTGTTCAACTCCAAAGCTCTATGCTCTTAACTACTACACTATATGAAAGAATGACATATTTGAACATGCTAATTTCTTGTCACCTTTTCAGTATTTTTTTAAATAAAAATAATAGTTTCTTGGGCTTTTTGGAAGATAATTGTATAACACTTTAATGTCTACATTTAATATCTACATTAAAACACTTCAGTGTTGACATTAAATTTTGGAAAATATTCTGAAATATCCTATATAATAAAAGGCTAATATACAAATTGTCCCCTCGGGAGTTTGACCAGGAGACTGGGAGTTTGATTGCTATGACGTGCGCTCACCACCAGGGGGCAGCACAGAATGTGGGCTACCAGTGGTGGCAGTGGGGCACTGAGGGAGCAAGGGAAGGAGGAGGTGGGGAGCTGGGGAGGTGGAGAGGTGGAGAACCTGATTGGCCCTGATCACTGCCCAGGCCTAGGGACCCTATCTGTGTACAAATTTTGTGCACCAGGCCTCTAGTATATTATAGTAAATATATTCTGAAATTATTTCTGTGCCAGAAAGATTTTTAAAGAATAAATTGGTTATTCTATTGCCTGCTATAGACTGCTATAGAGCACAGGATTAACATTCTTTTAAGAGATTCTCTTTTTAAAAAATTCTTTATTGTTTAAAGTATTACTGGTATATATAGTATTACATATGTCTCCTTTTTCACCCATTGACCTCTCCCTGGCCACCTCTATGCCCCCGTGCATACCCTCACTGTCCTAGTGTCTGTGTCCATTGGTTATATGCATGCATAAAGTCCTTTGATTGATCTCTTACCTTCCCCCTCCTTTCCCTCCCTTCCTTCTGAAGTTTGATGGTCTGTTCAATGTCATTGGATCTATTTTTGTTCATAAGTTCATGTTGTTCATTATATTCCACAAATGAGTGACATCATGTGATATTTATCTTTCTCCATCTGGCTTTTTTCGCTTAGCATAATGCTCTCCAGTTCCATCCATGCTGTTGTGAATGGTAAGAGTTCTTTCTTTTCTTACAGCAGCATAGTATTTCATTGTGTAGATGTACTACTGTTTTTTAATCCACTCATCTGCTGTTGGGCACTTAGGCTGTTTCTAAATCTTAGCTATTGTAAATTGTGCTGCTATGAACACAGTGGAGCATATTTCCTTTCTGATTGGTGTTTCTGATTTCTTAGGATATATTCCTACAAGTGGGATTACTGGGTCAAATGGGAGTTCCATTTTTAATTTTTTTAGGAAACTCCATACTGCTTTCCACAGTGGCGGCACCAGTCTGCATTCCCATTAGCAGTGCATCCTTTTAAGATAGTCTTAACCCTATATTTTTTTTATATGAAATGATACTATAGCTGGTAGATACTTAAATATTTTGTGAACATTTGGTAAGAAGTTACCTTAATTTCTTTCATTTGAGCTTTAAATATTACATATGCATTTTGTCATAAATAAATGTGTGTTTTTTTTTACTTTGAAATGACATAAAATTACTTTTATGTATTTATTAAATATTTAATTAGAACTACTTCTCTTTTCTCCCCTTATTTGTCCTAAAATGACCGTGAAGTGATAATTGGTTTTAATGGCTCTTACTGCTACCTCTCTGTCAGGAAAGGTGAAGGATTGGAGACCTCGTGAAATTTGTCTGGGCAGGTGAGAAAGCTTAATGTGCTTGTGAACTAGCACACTTCTTCTAGGTAATATGTGCACTATAATTAATATTAAAATCTATTTTCCCCTCTTAGACCTAACCCTTTAAGTCTATTTATTAGTTAACATTCAAAGAGGAATTATCTGAGGAAAAATGTTAACTAAATTCCTATACCTTGAAAAGATTGGCATCTACGGTAATAAATTAGGAAATAGTAATGTCTTGCTTAAATCTGTTTATAAAACCAGAGAATCTATATATATAAAAGTCTAAGCAACTGTTACAATGAAATGACCAGAACAACCAGAACGACTGGTGACTATGATGTGAACTGACCACCAGGGGGCAGATGCTCAATGCAGGAGCTGCCCCCAGCCAGCATGCACCAATCACCGATGGGGCCTGCAGGCCAACCTCCCAGTCCCTCCCCCTGGCCATCCGGTCCCGATTGCCTGATCGGGGCCAGGCCCCTGGGCTGGAATGGGGAACTGGGGGTGGGTGGTAGCAGACACGGCCCCTTTCCCAGGTGGGCCAAGGGCCGGCTCCCTCCTCAGGGCCAGTGGCCCACCTCCCAGGTCCCTCCCCTATCCCTATCCCCAGCCAGCAGGCCCCAATTGGCCCACCGCCCACCCGCTGCAGTGCATTTGGCCCCTCCCCTGTCTGGCAGGCCCGATCTGCCTGATCTGGGCTTGCTGGTCAACCTCCCGGTCCCTCCCCCTGTCTGGCAGGTCCTGATTGCCTGATCAGAGCCAGGCCCCGGGCTGCAATGGGGAACCAGTAGTGGGTGGTGGCGGGTGCAGGAAGCAAGGGAAGGAGGAGAGGGAGGAGTCAGGGAGGCAGGGAACAGAATGAGATAGAATCATCCATCCACTGCCTCCTGCATGTCCCCACTGGGGATTGAGCCCACAACCCAGGTATGTGCCTTGACCAGTAATTGAACTGTGACCTCCTGGTTCACAGGTCAATGCTCAACCACTGAGCCACACCTGCCAGGCCTACACAGTCTGTTTAAGTGCAATGCCAAATTGTATAATCCAGGTTATCTCTTTCTAAATGTGAATCAAAATTAGCATGCCGAGAGAGAGAGAGAGAGAGAGAGAGAGAGAGAGAGAGAGAGAGAGATATCTATTCATCTACTAGAGGCCTGGTGCACAAAATTCATGCACAAGTGGGGTCCCTAGGCCTGGCCAGCAATCAGGGCCGACAAGGTTCCCTGCCTCTTCCATCCCTCATTGCCCACCTCCCCACCAGGGCTCTAATAGATGAATAGATCTCTCTCTCTCTCTCTCTCTCTTAGGGCAATGCTGGATTAAGAAGAAAGCTCAAGCAAAAACAAACAAAACAAAACTCATAGACATGGTCAACAGCATGGTGATCATAGCACGGCGGGGGGGGGTGGGGGGAGTAGGAGAGGGTACAGGGGTTATACATGAGATGGAAGGAGACTTGACTTGGGGTGGTGAACACACAATACAATATACAGATGATGGCTTATAGAACTGTACACCTGAAACTTATATAATTTTATTAACCGTTGTCACCCCAATGACTCCAATTAAAAAATAAAACACACACACAAAAAGATGGCCAATATACAAAATAGACCCCAACCCAGCAAGAATGCAAATAATATTAAACATTACTTAAGACAAAACAGCTCTGCCTCCCTATTGGAAAATGACGGTGCCATTAGTGCAGGGGGGGCTGGAGGAGAATACATGTTCACGTTCCACACTCTGGTGTGGTGTCTGCGTGGCCGGGGGAGTCCTCATCCTCCAGCTGTGAGACTTTTGGTCCAGGTGCTTCATATGGTCCTGGACCCACTTCTCCTTTGGGGGGAGAGGGAGAGAGGTATGCCCTGTTAGTATTTGTTTCTGTAAAATCAGTGCAGGGTACAGAGGGAAAATAGAAATGCCCAGAAGGCTATTTATCTTGTTTCCCTACTTCCTACTTTTTGTTACCTTATGTTCAAATGTCAGTTCTAATATCAGAAACCAGGAAAATCTTTCTTCATCATCAAAGATGAAAATAAAATTTACTTGGCACTTACTAAGAACCAGGTATGAGTTAAGTGCACAGCTTGAAATGTATAATTTATTCCTTACAATTAGAGAGGTCCTATTATTATCCTATTTTATAGAAGGTGAAACAGGCTTAGAAAGATTAGCTAAATGGCCCAAGGCCATATTCCAAGTAAGTGGCAGAAACTGGAGCTGTCTATTTCAAAGACAATGCTCTTAATCTTCATCTCAAATACCAGTTGTACATATAGTATAATAGAGTATTATAGTATATATTTTGTTGTGTACACTTGGGGTCAGCATTTCACAACAAAGAGAGCAACATAGAAAAGACAGAAGACCTGGAGCTAAGAGTCTTGCATTTGGAATCAAGTTGCTTTTTGGAGTTCTAATTCTATTTGCAGGCTGCATAATCTGTTTGAACTTCCATTTCTTTTGTGATTTGGGAAGTAAAGGAGGTAATGGATGTGAAATGCTTAGTAAATTGTCTATGCTAGTTATCACGAAGATGGTGATTAATACTTTGCATTTGTAGAATGGTTTGCAATTTACAAAGAGCTTTAACAAAGGTTATCTCAGATGATAGTGACACACCATTGATGCTCGTTCATTCTATTCATTCATCCAACAAATAATTTTTGGAGTGTTTGCTAGGTGCTCAGCATTATCCTACAGGTTGGAGTGATTTAGCAGTGAAACAGCAAGGGGAAAATTACTTGCCTTCATAGAGTTTGCATTTTAATGAGGAATATAGATAACCTATTAAGTGAAATATATCATATATTAGATAATCACAATAATAAATGTAACCTCAATTCTTGCGTGGTGAGTGTTATAAGCTGTGTGCAGCTCAGTAGTTGGATCCATATTTTGATTCACAAACTAGTAACATGTTTTTCCACTAAAAACTGTAAACTAGTTACAGTTAGACTACAAACTTTTTTTCAAATTTTGTACTATTTTTAAAACATTGAGGGGATTCATTTTTTGATTTGTTAGCACACATCACCAAAATTCATGAAATCTCTTCTAGCTAGCTCTAAGATTCTATGAGTTATTGGCTAAAAGCATAGGATAAACATAGATCTCTAATACCTGTCTCTATTTATATGTGTCTGGTAAGTATACTCCAAATAAAGCATTTCAGCAAATCAAAGATTATTCTTAAAAAATAATTAATTATTAAAAAACATTAAATAATCTTGGCAATCCTTTACCTTTATAGATGAGGTAGTTGTATTCATGGATTATGTGTCTCAAATTGAGCACCAAGCCTGGGAAAAAGCTTTGGTGATGTGGCAACTCCATTCTGGCTCTTAGAAGACACAAAAGGATCATGAAAAGGTGTTGTAGTGAATGTAAACACTAAGATTTGTCTGCCAACTCTGAGTTTAAATTTATTGAAAGCTCTAGTAAAGACAGGAGTTATTCTTGGGATAATGTACAGCAATTAAATATTGGCCAGAAGTCACTATTCTGCATCATGGGGCAGGTGCTGAATTTAGGCCTTGGTAGAAAAATTCACACTTGCCCCATTAAAATGTTTCGAGATTTAATCCTAAAAAATGTCTTCTAGTTTTTATCTCAGGAAAGGAAAATAATGTGTTTTGTTTTTCTGGACTTAAACTCCTTTTTAAAGTTATTGAAGAAATATTCCTGCTATTTAAAGAGAATGGTCAGGAGCTTAAACTTCAGAAGCAGACAGAATCATTGTTCCACCACTTACTAACTATAAACTTTAAGAAGGATGTCATTAAAACTCCAAAAATATATCTGGCATCTTTTCCCCTCTCTCCTCTCCATCCTGTTCCAAATTACAAATTCTTCTCCATAATTACTAGTGACCTTATTACAAATGATATCTGATAGTCTGATCCCAGACATCATTCTCATCCTCTTCCTCTCCCACCTACTCCCTTCAATTGCTTTTTCTTGCACTAGGATGAAGTCCAGACTTCTTACCTTGGCCTTGTCCTTGGCCTTGGCCTACAAGACCCTGCAGGATCTGATCCAGCCTTGCCTCGCTGAGCTCACCACCTCTGTCTTGCTCTCTGAACTTGTGCCCTCTGACATTCCTAAACTCACTAAGCTGATTCCCCGCTTGAATCTTGACCACATCCTGTTTCCTGTGCTCAGAACATGCTCTACCTCATTCTTCACATGGCTGACTCTTTATCCCTCAGGCCTTAGACTTTCCCTTACTACCCAGTCTAAACAGGTTCTCCTGTTATGCTCATTCATAGAACCATGTTTTTTTCCCTGCCATGACACTTGTCACAGTTTTTCACTTTTTATTCACTTGTTTTTATCGGCAGTATCTGAATTCCTTCCTCCCCCAATTATAATCTTTATCTCTTTTTAAAAAATATATATATTTTATTGATTTTTTACAGAGAGGAAAGGAGAGGGATAGAGAGTTAGAAACATCAATGAGAGAGAAACATCCATCAGCTGCCTCCTGCACACCTCCTACTGGAGATGTGCCCACAACCAAGGTACATGCCCTTGACCAGAATCGAACCTGGGACCTTTCAGTCCTCAGGCCGACACTCTATCCACTGAGCCAAACCGGTTAGGGCAATCTTTATCTCTTTTGCGTTTGCTGCTGTATACCCAGCCCTAAGAGTTTTTTAGTAGGTACTCAATACATCATTGTTAATGTTGAATGAATAAAATATCTCCATGATCTTTCAAAGCCTTAATTTGCTCATCTTAAAAATACACATAATGCCATGGCCAGTGGTTTGAGTGTCAACTGTGCACTAAAAGGTTTCATGTTTGATTCCTGGTCAAGGGCACATACCTGGGTTGCAGGTTCGATCCCAGCCCCAGTCAGGACACGAGTGGGAGGCAATCAATGTGTCTTACATTTCTCTCTCTCTCTCTCTCTCTCTCTCTCTCTCTCTCTCCCATCCATTTCACTCTCTCTAAAAATCAGTGGAAAAATATCCTCAGGTGAGGATTAACAACAAAACACACAACACATATTAATTCTTACCTGTAAAATTATTATGTGAATTAAACAATATGAAAATATATAAAACACTTAGCACTGTTCTTGACAGAGTCCTCATCGAATGGAGCAGCAGCAGCAGCATGATCACCAGATGTCTAGGAAGCCCACTGTATGTGTAAGGCATTGTTAAGGTTTACACAACGTATTTTAAAAAGAGAATTCTGTTAGGCTTTTGTTTACCTAGTCTTTGCAATAAAAAAAAAATTATCATTGGTCCTCATCTCTATGAAATTAAAATGTGGAATTCCAGCAGTGGTTCCATACATTTTAATGGAACACTGATATGAACTAGCCTCAGCTTTGTAATGTCACAGTTATTAGAGCTATGCTGTACTTACAGAAGGGTAATTACTTTGGGTAGTAATTTCCTAGTCTGCCCCTTCTGCACTCTGGCCAGCTGGCATTGCAAAGGAAGCCCTGCTTTTATGTATACACACAATCAGTCTGTAAAATCCCATTATCCCCAACTTCCACACCCCTGTGGCTGCATGCTTCCCTTTGAAGCCTGTTAAAGAAGAAAAAAAACTTTCAAGGCAGCACTGAGGTTTACTTCTAATCTCATTTCACTCAAATAATGTAAAAATGAGATGGGGGATAGGAAGTGGGAGGGGTCCATAATGTGATTTACTTGCCCCTTCACCTGCAATCCTATGATACTTGTGGGAAAGCTTGGTAGAAATTGGGGTGGGTGGATAGAAATACTTCTTCAGTGTGTATTTTGAGATAAATTTGGATTTACTTATGTTTCGATGTTCAAACAATAGAGCAAGGGTGATTTGGTTATTCTAGTTCTTTTTCTTTCATCTTTTCAGAATGTCTTTACTATTTAATAGGAGTTTCTACCGATCTCTCATGGCCAACATGCTTCTTTTTTTTTTTTTTAAACTGTGATCATCTGTTGGAGTCCTAGGTGCAATGCCCTCCTCTGTGCTCCTTTTCTGTTCTGTGTCTCTAAGGATTTGACCTCCTTTTTGGCCCATTTCCTAACTGCTTCCACTGAGACCATTGCAATTCTGTACCTTTGGGTTCCAGTTCCCCATACAAGGAACATTTTTCTTAACGTTCTTTCCACCACCTTGAATTAATTGACATCTGTTCCCTGAGAATGACCCCTCCCTGCTACCTGTTGCATCTCTTGTTGTAACTATTTGATGAAATGGGGGGCGGGGAGGAGGAGTTTCAAATAAATTTTTCCTGCCCCTGAGAGACCACTTTCCTGACTGTGATTCCGTCACCTTTATTCAGAAGCCTTACTTTGGAAGTGCTTATTTTACATCAACATCACCTGATATCATACTGTCTTCCTCTTCTTAATCTCTGGGACATTTTCTGATCTTGCTTAGGAATGGTTTTAGAGATCTTACCATCATACCAACCTTTTCCAACTGAGTGATTTTGTCGTCCTTGCTGGTGACCCTTTCAAAATTGTAGGTTGTCAGACTCACTTCAGTCATCTAGAGTCACAGCCGTGAGTTGGCCCACACCTCTGTGCATCTCTGGTTTGTTTATGTTTCCTTCTATGAAATATGCTCCTGCCCTCACTGTAGATTCCTGATTCGGTATACCCCATCTTATTCCTGTGGTCAACAAATATCCCTCCTGGAATTCACTTCCTTTTTATCTATTTTGATCCTTCACACAACTGACCAAGATTCCTTCACCCTCCAAACTTCTTAGAGTCGTAAGCATTATTTTTGGTTTCTTTATCTTCCATTATCCTGTCAATATCCTGGAGACTTTTGCCTTATTGCTTTACTGACACTGCATTCAAAATCCCTGTAGATCTCCTCTTTTTCTATATTCAGCAGTGTCCTCTTCCCAGTCTATATTTCTGACTGCATTTTAAAAATATATTTTTATAGTTTTCAGAGAGGAAGGGAGAGAGAGAGAGAGATGTAGAAATATCAATAATGAGGGAGAATCATTGATCAGCTGCCACCTGCAGGCCCCTCAATGGGGATCAAGCCCGCAACCCGGGCATGTGCCCTCACTGGGAATCAAACCATGACCTCCTGGTTCATAGGTGGATGCTCAACCACTGAGCTACGCCAGCCAGGCCTGACTGCATTTTTTACTTCCTCCTTTCTTAATATTTCTAGCTCCCCGATTTCATAATATTTTCTTCTCATGATTCTTCTTCCTTTGTGACCCCCCACATTGTTTTGTTTTAGTTTTTGGACTCTTCTTCCCTCTCCTATCCTTACAAAGGGCAAGGGTACCTTTGATCATCTATTTTCTCTCTCTCTGCCCACTTTCTGTTGATGATCTCATCTAACCTCTCAATTTTGATAATAACCTTCTAGGTATGAATTCCTCTCCTGATGCTGAGGATCTGTCCCCATTCATTTCCAACTTCCAGTAGACATTCCAGAGGGATACCATAAAAATATGTTAAACCCAAGGCAATTACAATTTATCATATAAACTGAGTCACTATGAAAGTTTAAAGAGGGCAGTGTTAATAGCCAGTGTAAAGCTGTACTGTGCATATGGTCACCCATTCAAACCCAGTATGTACAAAAATACTCTGAAATTTGCTTTTCTAGTGTTTTCTATCATTAATTGCCCCATCAGCATTCTTTTTACCTAAGCTGAAAATCATCTTCAAATCTTTCTTATTCTTTCCTTAGTTTCCAATTTCTAGGAATTCTACCTTTCCTGTATTTTTTGAATTATATTTAAAATAAAAAGAAAACTATTTTCCCCTGCTCAGGCCATTATTGCTGCTTGCCTGGAATGCTGTATAGTCTTCTAACTTGTCTTCTTACTTACAGATGCCTCTCATTCATCCTTCATCTAGTATTCTTTATTCCTACTAAATATCCCTCAAGTACACTGATTGTTTATGCACCAGCCATATAATATCAAGCAGACTTCTCAATATGAAATTCAACACATTACAAAGCCTGACATAAAACTAAAATAAAATCAATCAGTGGTCTTCAGCCTCATCAGAATCACCTTTGGAATTTAAAAAAAATTAAATGCCGAACCTCACTTAACCTGGGAGATTTAAATTTGGTAGCTCTGTTTTGAGGACTGGTTATCTTAATAAAGCCTCCCCAAATGATTTTGACCAAAGCCGCTGAAAATCATTGCCCTATTTTCCTATCTCCATGACTTGATTACCATTTTCACTCCATAGCCAGTATCTTCTTTTCTTTGTTTTAAAAAATATATTTTTTATTGATTTCAGAGAGGAAGGGAAAGGGAGAGAGATATATAATCACCAGTGATGAGAGACACATTGATTGGCTGCCTCCTGCATGCCCCTCACTGGGGATCAAGCCTGCAAGCTGGGCACCAGAAATCGAAACATGACCTCCTGATTCATAGGTCGATGCTCAACCACTGAGCCATGCTGGCCGGGCAGTATCTGCTTTTCTTGCTTCCTCTTTCAATACCTTCATATCTTTCAATACCCAGCCCTAATTTTACCTCCTTCGTGAAGTCTTCCTTGTTTCATCCAAGCAGATGTAATTATTTCTTCGATACTGCAGTCACAGTAAACTTCCATTAGATTATATTCATATCTAACAACCTCTAGACAATACAGTTCTTGAAGGCAAGGCTTTTGCTATTTATAATATAGAGAAGCCACTCAGTGAAGATCATTGGCTATTGAGATTACTTGTAGATACATTTTACACTCTCACAATAAGCATGAGTTACGTTTTGCTAATTTAACCAAAGTCCAAAAGCATAAAGTGCAGAAGTTTCAATTCCAAAACCATGCTAAATTAAGATTTGCTAATCATGCTAAATAGGAGAAAGGAATTAAAATTTTAAAGGCCTCTACTGTTTTCAGCAGCAGATGAGCTAATATTAAATATAGTGGTGGATTGGTGCCTTTAACTCCCACACTTCAGGTTTTAAAGCATGTGGGTCTCTTTGGATTCCTCGTGAAAACTGCCACGTTGGC